GAGAGAGAGAGAGAGAGAGAGAGAGAGAGAGAGACTTATTCACATGTTCACGGACCCAATATAATTCGCCCCCAAAATTTGTGCTAGAAACCTAACTCGAATCTTGACGTATTTCTTTGATAGTGACGGTTCATACCTCCAAATATTATATAGAGATAACATACGTGTAGCCAGAATCAAATATTATAACGTGGTGTGTAATTGTCGAATCAGCAAAATCAAAGATGAAATCTAGTTTGATTATACGTTTTGTGAAACTAAAAACTATTTAATTATTGATATACCTTAATCAAAGACCCCGAAATGGCATTTAATTTAATTGCACCGTTAAATTTTCCATTGTTTTGTAAGTGGTAAAGAAGTTTACTTTATGTTTTCGATATCGCTTATCGTTGCCTTTTTGTTTTGTTTTTGTTTTTTGTTGGGGGGTTTTTTCAATTTAATTTTCAGCTAGCTGAGCGCGTAAAGATGTATGATTCTTTCCTTTTCATCATTTTTGTTATTTTGTATCAATTCGGACGGTTGTGAGTGTACATATTTGCGCAAAATTATTTCTCTCAACGATTGTTTTTATTTTATTTAAGGTACTTTATTATTTTGATTATTATCATTCAATACTGCGTGTAAATTATAGAATGTTTTATATGATCTAATTTTCTTATAGTAGTTATGGGATTGTCTGTCCGGAACATCCAGTTGATTTTGCTTTGTTGCTATATTGTGACTACGTTCGTTCCTCCACTCTTTTGCTTTTATCCGATCAAATCGGCGGGTGTTCATCCAGCTGCTCCAAAGATTTGATCTGTGGGTGCAGAAAATCCTGACGAATCAATGATACTTACGGCGCTGTTTCACTTAGATCGATAGGGAGCATACTGAATCGCTACACACAAAAGGAATGGGGTTTTCTTGTTTGTTTGTTTTTTATATCTAAGAGAAGCATGGTGTGCAATGGTTTGGACAACCTATTTCACCACTATGGTGTTATTCAAGAGGAAAGACATCAGAGTTTACCCTTTAAGAAGGACGTAGCGGACAGTCATATGACATGTCCGATCAGCAGCCGACTAAAGGCAATTTTGTTGCACATTTCAAATCAGAAGTGCGAATTTGTATATTTCGTAGTATTTAAGTTATTGCCAGCCTTCTAAAATTCCAGATAAGGGGGGGGGGGGAAAGAACTGAAAAATCTGTATGAATAACGAAGTTATATGTTCTTCTTCAAAGTGCCCCAAAACAGTGCGTTTTCAGACGTTGTTGTATGACTCCCGCGCTCATGTGACCTTACGCAGTTGCGAGCGCGGTAATACTCTTACTAAAACCAATAGTTGTGGAATGACTAGAATGCTTGTCTTCGGTGTGTTAAACGTCCATCCACGACAGGGCCGAGTCAAGAGGACGGAGAGATTTGATAACTCCACAAACGGTCCAAGCTACAAACAATGGCGAGTTGGGATTCAAACTAGAGTCCACTGCCTAATAACCTATCAAGATACTAAGCGAGCGATCGGTGTACTAACTAGCAGAGAGGTGTAACAATAATGGAACACAAAGTTTGTCTTTGGCAAGACACGGGTTTGGTGGTGTGATATATGCTTCAGGCTCCGCGAGTTTCCGCCTGCGTGTATAAAAATATTCTCTTTGAAAACTTCGGGACCAGTCAAAAACAAGCAAAATATCTCTAGAATATTTTCAAAAGCTCATGTCGCATTTCACAAGTTGTAGTTTGGGATTAAAAATTAGAACAATTATTTGTAAAGAAACGGTTTTGTCCACGGAATGCTTAACACGTGGTAAGTTGACATATATCTTGGGAATACTAGTGAGCACTTGGTCTTCAAAATGAAACAAAATTGGCCAAGAAAATCCCTGGATAAATAGCTCTGCATTAGTTTGATGAACCATTTAGAAAGGGATTTTCACCTTGCGGTCTTGTTTACGCGTGCTAAATATTCACAATTATTCACACGTTAATTGTAAACCTCGAAGAGGACAAAAAAAGAGGAAATCAAGTGAAACTGAAAAAAAGTTATCAAATTTGTTTTACACTGGTCTTAACTTTTTAGATATTTGCTTAGAAACAGAGTGTGGTGTAAATACACGCTGGTGATGTTACTCCCGGTACGCTCCTGTCTGCTTATAATGTATTGTGTCCATGGTGTCTAGATAATTTATTATCAGTTTTGGATTGATTGCAGCCATTTTCCTCTTAAACTCTGACCAAAGACATCTCTAGAACAGTTTTTAGCTTCATGTTTGTGAGATATAATCTCAACCAAAGCCGGTTTTTTCCTTACATTTTAGACCATCCACTTGAAAACAATTAATTGATGGATTCTCAATTCTTTGTGAATGTTGCCAGGGGGATTGGGATGCTTCTGGAATAAACAACAAAATGCTTGTCAACTTGTTATTGGTTGTTGTTGTTTTAATTTTTTTTCCGGGGATGGTGGGTTGTTGTTGTTGTTGTTGTTGTTGTTGTTGTTAATGAAGAAGTTGCTGTTTTGTTGTTTGCTTTGTTGTATGTTTGTCTTGTTTGTTTCTTTATTTGAAGAACTTGCACCACTGGATAAGGCTTTAGGTTAATACAGCAAAGCGTCACAGAATGGTATACATTTGTTTACATTATAAGCTTTTATTTCTTTTATTGTGTCTATAAAGTACTGTACTACTGGATAAGGCTTTGAATTATACTGCAAAGCATCACGGAACAATGGGGCGAAACTCTCCGTCAAACTGCATCATGACTTCCTTCCCTTTGAGTTCCCTGGAAACGCCTTGCTTGACAACAGCGTCGTTATCAACCATGTTCAAGGGCTGGTACAGCGCGTGGATGATCTAGGGTTTGCAGGGAACGAAACAAAGTAAAAGTTTTAACTGCAAAGTCTTAGATGAATGTGTGTGTCATCGTGTGTGAAATCAAGTCCTCATCAAAATAATTAAATTCAAGAAACCAGCATATTTCCACCTGTTGAGACATTTTTAACTTTTAAATTTATTTTTGAGTTTGCATTTTTATTTATTTTTGCTCAACATCTTTCACGAGCTTTTAAAGACACATTTCCACATTACTGGAAAGATGTTGCAGAAAGGCACAAAAATTGTGCATTTGCAGTTTATAAAGACATTCAAGCTTCGGAAATTGCCAAACTTTTGTGGCTATTTTCTGGTTAATTTTACCTCTAACACCAGGCAACCCCCACTTCATTCACTCGCAAAGATCTCTACTTCTATTCCAGATGGACAGATCTTTTTTTAAATCTAAAGCAAGACAAATGAACAGGCTCTAAGATCATACCAATAACTCCGTATGCCAAAAAAAGGACGGGAGCCTGGTTCCACTGTGTCATGACATATTTGGAAATTGTGTTTTGGTTCCAAAGCAGGTTTCATGCGCCTTCTTCGCATCTTCTGTTAGATCTCCCCTTTCTTTCCTTGCCTTCTACCTTTGCTTTCACAAAATGATTCTTAGTGAATCATGGTATTTGATAAATTATAATATGCCCCAAAAGAAATCCAGCTTCAGTTTCCTTATTTTCTGGAGGAGGAGTGATCTTTCTCCTTTCCATACCAATTTTTCTCTGTACTTTTTCTTTTTTTTTTTGTTTCTACGATATTTTTGCGATTTGTGTGAGTACACATAGAATGAACCTCAGGGGCGTCTATAGTGTAGAGGCAAGGCACGCAATCGTCGCATTCGGAAGACCCCAGTTCGATTCCCGTGTGGGAAGAATTTTTATCTAATATCTCGGTCGTTCCATTGGTACATTGTATTCCTGTCAGCCTGAATTGGTTCTGACGGATAGGGTCGAAGCAAACCTTCTAGATGATCGAAATTGTGTCAACAGAGACGTAAAAAAACTGACATTAAAAATAAGCTTAAGGACAACCTATCGCTCCTGGTATAACACATAATCTTTCTCCTCTTCCACCGCCTCCTCCTTCCAGTTGCCAACACCATCACCAATGTTACCATTGTGTCATCATCATCATCATCATCATCATCATCATCATCATCATCATCATCATCATCATCATCATCATCATCATCATCATCATATATCATCAATAACAACAACAGCAACAACAACAACAACAACAACAACAACAACAACAACAACAACAACAACAACAACAACAGAAGCAGCAGCAACAACAACAACGACAATCACCAGTCAATCAACTAGGAAACAAGCAAATCAACCCCCCACCCCCCAAAAAAAATCAACCACCTCAACAACAACAATAACAACAACAGCAACAACCACAACAACAACGACAACTCTAACCAAAGCTATATCAATCACCTTCTGGTAAGGACTGTTGTGTTTGCGGCTGTAGCAGGACAGGATAGCCCATCGTCGTCTGTCACTCAGGTTCTGCGAGCTGCAGTGCAGAAGGTTACAGTGGAAGAACAGCGCATCTCCGGGGTCCAGCTCCACGTAGACCTTCTCTAGAACTTTCTCCAGTTCCTGCACTCTTGCCATGTCAGCTCCTGTCTGCCGGGGCAAAAAAAATGATATAGTTTAACGCCTCTAACAACACTGTTAGGATATTTAAGAGGTGGGACCTCCGGGTTTGACGTCCATCTCTGAAAGAACCGAGCCAGGTGAGAAATTCGTGTAAAGTGCCTTTCCCAAGGACACAAAGGCGGACCGAGCTGAGGCTCTAACTTTCGGACCTGCTATCCCACGCTTACGAGTTCGATAGCCTAACCATTAGGCTACCGACGCCATCTACCGGGGCAGTTAGAATAAATCTTAAGAAAGTCAATACTTATCAGGAGACATTATGGCTGCCTGTCCAACAAAGCAGAAACGACCAGATTCTGATGTTTTTGTCCTTCAGAAACAATTCAGTCTGTTCGTTTCGGTATTCATGAACAGGTCAAAGGTTGAGGACAGCAATGCAGGAATATCAAACCATGAATTATTTTTTTAAACTAGTAAAAAGTATTAATTTGCATGTAAACCAAGTGGTTTATGCGTAAACTTGGTTGATTTTGAGGCTCTGATGATGAATATGATATTGGATTCTTCATCAGAACTTAAAATTTGACTTTTAAAACTTTTCCTGGGCTATGGCTGATGAGTGACCGCATGGCCTGCAAAAATGCGCATCTGCATTCCAACCGACCCGTCGTTTGTAAGTTTCATAAATTGCTAATCAGTCTGATGCTCCATTTCAACTACCTCTTCCCGAGAAACGAACAATGTTTGGATGGGAGCTTCTAGTTTGGAGAACACGCAGACAATGAAAGCGTTATTTCTTTTTTATTTATTTGAATAATCCATTGGATACTCCAGCGAGATCCTGAATGCAACATTGACAGAATTAAAAAATCGGATTTTCTCCATCTTCATATTTGAACTTCTTTTACTCACCTTTTCCAAAGGGCTTGTGTTACAATATCTTAGATCGGACACTCTACTTATTTCCGGTTCACCATGGAGCGCTCCTTTTGACTCTATTTGGAACCAAGTGGGGCAAAGGGCGTGCTCTCGACGGTAGTGTGGTAAAATATTCGTGGCTCAACTTATTGCCAAATATTTCCCAAACTATCGAACATAGAATCTCCAGCTTCCACAATGACTTGTATCAATTTTTCTTAACAGATCAATATTCTTGTAAACACCCGCTAGATCTAGATCTAGCTGCATTTTAGAAAATTCCTCAATAAATACTAATAAAAAATCTAAGCTGGTGCTTTCTACAGATTTTAAAATGTTTACAGCTGAGGCAATATCGCTATTACACGCAAGTCCGTCATTTTCTTTTCTATTCTTGACACTATGCTTATTGAACCCGTTTTGAGAACCTTTAGAGCAAAGACATTATGTGTTCACTATAAAATACATTTCTTGTAACAAGTTTTTTCATTAAAAATCGTCATTGTTGAGCTGTGACCACATTATAATATTTGTATGCAAAATGTGTGTGAGAAGCGGGAATTGCTGTAAACAATCCAAGTTTCCGTGTGACGGAGATTTATAACATTTTATATAAATTTATGAAGAAAAGTCTTCAAATCTAGCCTCAAGTACTGTGGAAAAATATGATTGAGTAAATACAAATTGATACAAACTACTGTGCAAAATATGGATGGCATTGATTCACCTGTTAAAGAGATATTTGAGGATAAGTTCCACCATGGATTATTTTTTTTTACCCCACGCTAATTATATTATACAACATTGGTATTGTCCCCCCCTGTCAGCTCTGTCAAGTTTTTCTTGAGAGCAAAGAGCGACAGCCATGACAGTGCCCGGTGCCCAGTCTAGGACATAATATTATGATTCCAGTCTATGGCTTTTCTAGTAAAGTTTGACGCTGCTTTTCAACTCATTTTGCAATAAATAAAAACAACCTTGTCTTTTGCTGTAATGACTGTTTGGGTTGTTTTGTTCCCAAGCTTAGTTTCTGTGTCTTGTTTCCACCTTCTGTTAGATCTCCCCTTTCCTCTCTACAGGTGGACACAGAAACAAACAACTAACAACCGAATGAATGACATTCATCCTCCTCCCCCTTTTCCTCCCTCATTCTCCTCCTCCAATACTCCTCGTCATCCTTCTCCTCCTTTTCCTCCTCGTCCTATTCCTCTTCTTTCTCCTCCTCCTTCTCCTCTTCCTCCTCCCCCTCTTTCTCCTCCTCCTCCTCCTCCTCCT